TGTATTATATTTGCCCATATATTTATCATTTCTGTTGTCTTTCTTTCTTTCTTTCTTGAGGATCCAACTTTCTTTTTGGTACCATTTCCCTTCTTTCTAAGGAATTTCCTTTCCCAGTTCTCTTGGAACATGTATGCTGGACAAAAAATTGAGAATTCCTTCATCTGAGAATGTCTTTAATTCACCTTCATCCCTGATGAATATTTTTCCTGGACTTAGAATTCTGGGTTGACAGTGCTTTTCTTTCAGCACTTTTAAGATGTTCTACTTTCTTCTGGCTTTCTTGGTTTCTGCTGAAAAAAGTCATTCCAATGGTTCCCCTATATGTAATGCTCCATATGTCTCAGGTTTTTTTTTTCTTTTTGAGATTTTCTTTTTTTTTTTTTTTTTGATCTGTAGAATCCAGTAATTAGATTATGCTGTGCCTGGGTGTTCATTTCTTTGACTTGATCACCTTTGGGTTTAATGAGCCTTTTGAATCTGTGGGTTTGTGTCTTTTTGCCAAACTGAGGCAGTTTTCAGCCATTAGTATTTCAAATACTTTTTCCTCTCTGTGATCTTTCTGGAGCTTTCCAATCTTGCCTTTTCAGTCCTTGGGCTGGAAAGCTGTTGTTCTGCAGGGACTCTGCTTACCTCCAGGACCCAAAAGTGAGAGGGCCAATGGAGATAGAAGGGGTTTCCCCGCCCTTGAGACAGCAGCTCTTATTGGGGCACAGAGTCTGGCTCCTGTAGATCCCTGTCACTCCTGCTCTTGTCACCACCACTTGGGTTTGAGGCCAGCACTAGAAAATGGGGGGGGGGGGTGGCAAGAATAGGCAATTTTGCCTACATTTTTGACCATTTGCTGTTTTCTTCCCCACTTTTTGACCACAGGGCTTCTGGAGATGCCTTCGTCCAGCCCTGATGCCCACTCACGGGATTCAGATTTCGATGAATTCAGGCCAGCTGGGGCATACAGGAGGGAGGAAAAATGGTGAAGTAAGGCCATTTCGGTAGCACTCCGAATCCTGGTCTTTCTTCTCCAAGCTTCTGTTAGACTACTTACTTTTCAGAGCCCACAAATAGCTGACCCATGCATTCTATCCAGGTGTGGGACCGCAGCCTCCTTCGCCTCATCATAAGGCTGGCTTTGACTTTGGTATTTAGCAAAGGGCTCCAACCCCCAACCTTCATCCCCTATGCCTTCCTCTATTTATTCTGTTAGTAGTGCACTGATCACCTACTAAGGACCACAAGCTGCAGCCTAGAGAAACAATCCATCTTTAAGATGTTTAGAGCACAGTTCCCACATGAGACACAACTCCTGGATCTCACCCACGTCCTGGCTTTTCCCCCTCTGTACTTAGGCTCACAGATCTATGTGAAGTGAGTGGATTCTGTTGCTTCCTTGAAAAAACAAGTCTGCATGTGAGCCTGAAACCATCCCCACATGTGAGCTCTGTGGGTGAGGTGCGGGGCTTCGGAGAGAGTCAGATTTTTCAAACACACAGGTTTGTGGTTTCTGAAAGAACAAAAAGCAGAAAGCATAACATCTTGCAGGATTACTTTCTGCTGAAGACCAAGTGATGCGACATCTGAAAATAATCAAATAAGTGTCTTGTTTTCAGCCTGCAAATGACTTTGTGAAACTTTGGAAGGAAATTCTCCACTTAAGAGAAGAGAAAAAAAAAACCAAAACAAAACAAGAAACTGGAAATTGAGATCATGAGGAAGAACAAAGATGGGGAATTATGAGAGTGCTTTGAATTGTTAATAGCATTTCTATTTGTAAAAATGAATCTCTCTAAAAACCTGGAAGTGGCCTAATCACTTTAAATCACCTTACATAGCACATACCCAAAACCCCTGATAACCTCCAGCTTCAGTTGCTTATGACCATTTTCTGGAGCATTCCAAAGACCTGAAGTTGCCACACAATGCGCAGAACTCTGGATTCAAAATTATTGAAGACTTTGATATTTTTTTTTCCTTATAAGCTCTTACATTTGGAAAGAAGTCAAGGTACAGTCTAACCCCAGAGGATCAGAAGATATTGAACTGTTTTTTTTTTTAATAGTATCAGCCAAGAAAACAGAAATTGAACTGAACATTATAATGAGGAAAGTAAAGAAGGGCAAAGAAAAGGCTGAAGGTGGCGTGTATAAAAGACAAAGTTGAAGGAGAGGGTGCACCTCAGGAGGAAAAGTTCTGCTGGTCAAGGTAAGTCCCAGTAAGGCAGGTTGATGAGGATAATGGGAGGCAAATGAAATTCAACGTCATCCAAAAACCCCGGGCTCAGGTAAGGAGAGACTGGAGCAAAGAGAAACTTCCCCGGGGCTGCGGTGGTTAAGGGTGACTTCGCGTTCCTATAGCATTTCATTAATCTACAAGTCAAGTGTTGCTAATATCCAGCGTGGATGACAGACAGTTGTATTTTGTGAATTTCTGGTTTCTAATGATGCATTGAGCTTTATTTTTTACAGCTGTCCTTGTCTTAATCCTGTACTTTTTTCCCCCTCCCCCCGGGGTTTAATGGTTTCTAGTTCTATATTGGCATTTTAAGCTACACGCCGCCCATCAGGCTGCACGCGGCTTCCGAAGGTTAGGGCGTTTGGGTCGCCACGAGCGCTCTGGAAGGACGAGTGCTCCCGTGAGCAGCCCAGCAAACCCTCTCGCAGGACGGGAACGCGCCAGCGCAGGACCGGGGCGCACGCTAGGAATCGAACCAAATGCCTTTTGCAAACAGCAGCTCAATGAGGATTCCTGCCATGAGGCAAAATGCTTGGAAAGTTAGTATGTGCTGGCATCACTGGGTTTGGGGTCAGCATGCTGAAACCGGGACTCATTATGTTCCTACCATGCCAACTTGGTGCAATTAGCCGAACACGATAATTTCCCGAAGCCATATGTTGATCTTTAGGGGAGGGGAGGCTTCGTATGCCTGATGGCTCTGAGCTCTGACTGGCGTGTCCCAGCTTCGAGCACATCTCTGTAAATCAGGGTAATGCATGCGCACTGCAATCAAAGGTGAGGTAGGAGAGCCGGCCTGGATAGAGGCAGGAAACAGAGTGGGGCTGTGTACTTGTTGACTCTTGCAGCGACTTGGTTTTCTTCTTCTTCTTCTTCTTCTTCTTTTTTTTTTCCCAAGGAAGATTTCAGAGAAAGGTCAAGGGAGCACCACTGTGTGCAAGGCTGTTCCTCCCTCCCCCACCCAAAATAAAATCAATGGAAGGACCTAGAACACAGTAAGTTATGTTCCAGGGCTTTGTGGCCTGTATTCTCATTGGAGACCTATCAATGTGAACTAGCACTGTTGGGAAATCTCTTCAGCTAGCCCTGTTAATCAATACCTCTGTTCATTATACGTCTCTGATGAATACGGGTAATGATTGGGTGCCCGAGAGTCAGGTGACTAAAAATAACTGCGCCTCACTGAGGGTCGATAGATGTTCCCCCCAGTATTACTGCTGGCAATTCAATATTGGCCGCCGCCCCTCCCGAACGCCCACCGATGCGCTCCTCTCTGGTCTTCATTGATAGATCAGCTCTGTCCTCAGAGCAGCTTTATTAAATTAGTAGCACTTAATCTACAGTCATATTGTCAACTGACGCGGGGCAACCTCACGAGAGCCACTGGCCGCGACCCAGGCAGTTTTGATTAGCTTTGTGCCAAGAACTGTCTTCATGGGTGCCTCTTTGCTAAACAGGAGGATTTCCACCATTTAGTAAGGTTTAAGACAACTTTTTTTTTTTTTTTTTAAGAAGAAGGAGCTGTTTGAGGGAGAATTCTTGCCAATTACAGACGTGTTATGACAGATGAAAAGATCATAATTATGCTTGGATTCCCTGCAGGAGTGCGTTAATACATCCGTGACATTTAATAACCACATGCGTCAACGGAGGTTGACTTCTCCAAAGTTGTTTAACCTACCATTTCTTTGCCCTTACCCCCAAACCCAGCCAGGGGTGCTCAGAGGAAATCGAGGAGGGAGACCCCTCAGGGCTCGCTGGCTGGCAGCCTTGCTGCCCTGGGAGGGCCCCTCAGTCCGTGGCATCCGAGGCCGGCTGGACAGTTCCTCGCTGTGGGCCTGATGACAGCCTGTCCCGCCCCTTGCTGGCCAGAGGCCCAGGGCCGGGGCTGCTGTGGAGTTGGGGTAGCTCATTTCCCTGGCGATGCGCCGGGCGGTGCAGTGGGTGCGACAAGCTGGGGAGATGGGCAAGTCCAGCGCTAGGGATGGAGAACAGAAAAATGACAGCTTGGAAAGGACACTGCAGGAAAAGTTAGTATGGGGTAGCCACCTTTTTAGCTAAGAGGTGGGGGTGATAGTAAACAATGCTGAGTCAAAAGCACCTTCTATATGCTTCTTCCCCTTGTCCCTCAAGCAGGATGACAGGAGGAGGAAATGTCACTGATTAGGACAACTGTCCTTCTGCTAGTTTTATTTCTAGATTATAACAAGCACAGGCTGCATAAAACCACTGCCCGGGGAATATAAACTGAAACATAAGCATTTAGTCTGAAAACAAAATATATAGTCATCATCCTGTTGGCTATGGTCCACAAATTTCAAAGGGCAGGGGAGCGAAGACAATGTATTTGTAGACAGCTAAGCGGCAAAGATACCTAAGTTCTTCCTTTGGTCTTTCTTTCCTAAAAAGAGCTTGGGCAAAGGGCTTTGGTGGGGGACAGGAATTCTGGAGAGACACAGAAGTCGTCCCTCAAAGGATGGCTTTGGTAAGGAAGACTCTGAGCAATGTTTGCTGGGCTCTGTCGGGACTGGCTAGAATCTTGATCGCTCTGACTCAGCTTCGCCATCTGAGCAAGAGATGGGTTTGATCTTCCTAAGGAGAGTATTCAGTAATACCAGGATTCAGTCCAAACAGGAGACTGACTCTGAGTTATACAACAAGTGTACTTCAGTAGGGTGAATTACCATGTGAGCCGAAGCGTTACTAAGTGTATTTTGTAAAGGTCTATTGGAGTTTGTTGAGTTTCTTCAAATCAAGAAGGTAAGAAGAGGTCAGTGACTGATAAATCTTTAATATAAAAATTGTACAAGAATTCTGATACAAATTACAAGAGGTATTTGGACAAAATATGAATAAAATTCCATTTACATCCCCAAACCCTTATGCATTTTATGCAAAAGACATACTGTAGACAGTTATAGTACAGAAAATACAACAAAGGAAATAGCAAATAAAAAAACTTTTAATTCCCTTAGACTACTGATCAAAACAAACCAAAAAGCAAAACAAAACAAAACAGCAACAAAACCCTTGTTCAAGGTACATACAGTATTTCTGAAGCTACCGACGTCGCGAGTATTACATGGGAGGGATGCAAGCCGTCCCCGTCCCTGGGTGCAGCTACCGTGTGGAGCACAGGCTTTGGCTCTGTGACAGGCTTTAGCAGAAGAGACTGGTTTAATGTAGATGAGAACAACATAAACAAAAAGAAAAGCCCAGACCCCCCAAACTCTGGGGGACGGAGAGGACCTATCTTGGTGAAAATTCCTTTTCCTCAAGATACTTCAATTCCCTTGGCCACTTTTGCTGTCAAATATGCAGGTCGAGTCAAATGTTTTTGTTATCGAGACACACCGGTGGGCTTGGGGTGGATTAGAAAGTTACGTGTTCTCCCAACTGTGTGAAGGATCTTGCTAGTTCTGGAAGGACTAGCCCTTGATCTGCAGGGGAGAACAGAGAGCTTTCCTTCCCAGAGCCTCAGCTTGCCTCCAGCTTTGAGGAAGGGCCCAGGTGGCCTCAGACCAAAGTCTCCTTTTGGTTCCTTGACCTTCCTTGACCCTCTGACCTCCATGTACCCACATTTAGCTCTCCTGCACTTCGTTTTTTACTGGCACTGGTAGGAAAATGGTAAGATTTCTCTGCAGGGCAGCTGAACCAAAGTTTGCACAGGAAAGAGAGTGCACCATACATTATAAATCTTAGATAGTCATATCAGGTTAATACATAATACTAAAACATCTCATTCGCTTAATTCATGTTATGTAAACCCTGGACAGGGTAGAACACACACGTTTCCGAAATGATCAAAATCAGGACGAAGGAGGGAGTGTTCTACCTTCTTGCTTCAGAAAAGATTTTTTTTTTAAGGGGTAGGTGAGATCAGAAGGAGAGCAAAGGGCGGCAGTGGAGGATAATGGAAAAGTCAAGGGAGATTAAGATAGGCAATGAGAGGAATGGATTACTCTGTACAGAGACATGCAAAAACGCTCCAAATTGAGTACTAGATGAAAAACAAACAAACAAACAGACAAAAAACAAAAAACAATCAACCTTGGTTTATACATCTCAAGTGAACCTGTTAACTCAGCACATTGTCTGGGAGTTCAGGAGCATCATACCTCGGGAATCAATGCTTCTCCTGGCTACCGCACTGAGTCTCACGGGGCGGGGAAGCTTTGTGTCCTCGCCTGGCAAAGGCAGGCAGGGGGCTCCCCTTGCACGGGGACTACCAAGAGGCCTGGGGGTTTCTCCCTCCTCTTCTGGAAAACGCTTGCAGGACCAGGTGAGAGGGGCTCTCCCACATATCCAGGGGCTCCCCAGGGTCACCTCTCAATCCTCGAGTTCCGCAACGGAAGTGGGCGGAGCCGGTTAATAATGGATTGATTCGCTATCTTCGTTGTGCATTGTTTCAACATCACATTTGGCAACAGGAAGCCTTATAAAGTCTTGGTATAGCACTTAGATACTCTCTCTCTTCAAGAAATATATTTTTATACTATCTACTTCTCTCCATTTTTGTTAAAATACCTCTTTCTGCTCTTCCTTCCCTTCAAAGATTTTTTTTTTTAATGAAACTTAAAAAAACCCAAAACATTAGAAATGTCCTCAAGCATCCCTGTTATTTCAAGGGGGAAAGCTAGTATTAGCAGATTCTGTGCAATTTTGGCAACCGAGTTTTTAATTCATTTAAGATTCTATTAATATGTTTGATAAATGATTGTAATATATACATACTGGTGGAACTTAAACAACATCAAGCCAACTGCTTTTTCTCTGACCCCAAGAATCCTCGCTCAAAGTGCTTTTCTTCCCGGTCCTCAGACGGGCTAATGAAATTATTTCGCACAAATTTGTCAACAAAGACCTGTTAAGCTTTCTATGTCTAAGTCTCCTGCTTTTCTCTCTCCAAAAGTCCACATCAAAGATGACATTTGCACGCATCTCCTTTGTTTGACAAATACATTTGCCATGTGACTGTTCCCGGGGGCGGGGGGGGGGGGGCGGGTGTCAGCAACTTCTGTCACACCTGCTACCAGAGGGTGGGGAGGAGGCACGGAGTCCTCGGGCTCCTTAGAGAGGAAGTACAAATCGATCTTGCGCTTCACTTAGTCACTACCTAGCCACTTTCCAACCATTATCAAGCAGGTCAAAACAGTTCACTAAACAAGAACAGCAACCACCACCTACACGTAATTCGGGCTCAAGGTATTTTGGAATACAATATTTTCGTGTGTTCCTCCTTTGTACCTTTTGCCCCCTCGTCACTTGAGTCTGTAAAGCTCACTATACTTGTAGTTATCAAAATTCTCCCAAAGTGGAGAATTTACCTTTTACATATAGGGTAGTTCCTGTTTTAGTGATTAAAGTAAAAAGTCCCATCACCTCCCCCCCCCCCACTTTTTTTTAGATTGTCAGTCCAGTCTCACAAAATCAAGGTTAAGCTGTTGTGTTACACTATGGATTCCGAGGTGGTCATTTCAAGGTACTTGCTTGCATTTAGACCCGTGGTTGGCTGCCAAAGCTAAAACAACAGCAACTTTTTACCACCATGCACAACCAGTTTGTCTCCAACATATGCACTTTTGGAAGGGAAAGGAAAGTATCATAATGCTTTCCTTCCAAAATATGGGGTGATCTAATTCTGCTCTGCCACTGACTTGTGGGAAATTTTGCTCCAGCTATGGGGGGCCACACCCAGTACTCCTTAAATGAGTGGGCATGGAATTGCAATACTTAAGTTTCTAAAGACACAAAGAATGCTGTCACAGGGTCTCTCTGCTGACCCTTTAAGAAGTCATCTTGTTACTGTCCACTTAATAGCTGGAGAGGGCATCGGAGAGGCAGCCTTGGGCTTACCAAAGACGCAGCTTATTAGGTGTGTGTGTGTGTGTGTGCACGCGCATGCACTTGTATGTTGGGAGGGGAGGGAGAGAAGCAAGAAGGAAGAGGAAGAGGAAGAGGAGGGGAGGGAGAGGGAGGGGGAAGGAGAAAGAGAGAGAGAATTGTGACTGTGTGTGTACATCAGGGAACTCAGTGGGAAAGCTGAGCCCTTGTACTCCATTTCCCCTTCACAAGGGATAAACAGGCAATTACGCATCCTTTTATATTTGATGGCCAAGTGCTGAACTGGAAAGCACACTATTAGTTTGTGTCCCTTCAGGGCCAGGGCAATAAGTAGCCAGGAGAGCTGGGGCTGAAGCAGAGAGGGTGTTGTCTGCTGTTAGTGTGACAGTCTTGTCAGCAGCATTCACATTACTGGAAGGTAATAAAGTGACAAGTAAGTTATTAGAAAGATATGAGGTGAAATTGAACTGAAGCTTCTTGCTGCTCAGTCCCAGCTTTTTCCTTTCCTCTTTTGTAATGGTCCACTATTTGTTACAAACTGAGCCTTGTCTTGATATTTTATATAGAAAAGATTTTTTTTTTTGCAGTAAAGGTCAAATGAATTTACAATAACACTTTAGAAAAGAATAAGGATGTTTTATAATAACTATAGAATGTTGTTTCAAAAAAATATATATAGCATTATAATGAACAATAATGCTGATCCAATTTGGTGTACTTGTAAAAATGCTCATTAAAAGAACCAACCCTTTATTAGGCATTTGGAGTTTTCAACAAATGCCCAAAGACAGTATCTGATGTCCAGTTATTGCCGCATGACCACAAGCATCATCTTGGGCAAGATATGGAAAGAAGGGCACAAGGAAAGATGGGTGTTTGGGCCAGAGTGATGTAGACTAATTCAGCCGTCAGTTTTACAGCTGGGTTTATAAACACTAATTGCAAGTTACCATATATGGGGAGCAACTCTCCAACTACAGGGAATAGGGAAATGAGTCTGAGACACATCAGATATGGTCTTAATTCTAATACGAGGAAGACTGCCACATGTTTAGCTTTGAGGGAAAACATGAAAACAGAAAAGTTACTTTTATGCTTCACAGGAAGGTAAATGAGCTCACATTTTGATCAAGAAGTCTTTGGCCAAGTGGCATTACCATCATGGCTACAGGGGCAAGCAAAAGTCATGATGGAGAAAATACATTTAAGAGCTCAGTTTGACCACCAGCCTTTTCTATAACCTAGGTGACCCATCACATCTCTTTGCTTCCCTAAGGGACTCCAGCATCACTTCCCACCCACAAAACAAAACCAAAAACAAAGAAAAAACCCCCACAACTGCCCTTGTTGGCTCTTCTGACCCATTAAGGAACCTGTTATTCCACACAGTTGTGTTTGCTTTCCCCTGTTCCTCAGACTGGGGTGCCGTGGGGCACCTGGTCATAGGGAGCTCTTCGGGATGGTGCATCAATATGCTCTCGCCTGCTCCTAGGCACAATTGTACCAGACCTTTCTTTTGCACAAACACTTCGAGTTCATTCACTATTTTCTTTTCTAGCTACCCCAGACCGGGGCAGGTACCAATCCCCTACTTAGTATCCCTTGCTCTGCTTTTGGAAAAACTCATTCCCTCCAGTCTTTTTGACACCTGCCTTTCATCGCCCTCCTTACACATTTAGACCCTTCCCATTAAAAGACAAAGCATGGGAGGGAGAAGCAACATCCTCTAATTTAAATGTTCCAAGTTTTTAAAGAATGAAATTTATTGTAATTGTTTAAAAGTTAAGGAGTGTGTCCGGGGGATAAAAGAAAGTTTCTTCTGGATGATTTGTTTCTTTATGATAGCAGATGTAGTGTGTCTTATTACAGCTGAGTTTTATTTACTCTGTTAGTCAATCCAATCCAACACTAACAGACCGAGTACAAGTTAGGACTGCTCAGGTCAACTGTTAGCAGTTAGCAGAATGTCCACCCCACTCTGGTTACTGGTTTTTTTATGTTTTAATTGCCAGTGGCCCCCATTCTCATTTGCTTGGTACACATCTGGGGTGTGTACGTAGGGAGGGGAACAAAAGGTCACTTTTTATTTGGTGGGAATCTAATGCTTGGTTTCTCCTGAGTAAAATGGGGAGAATGCCTCTGGAACAACAGCCTATTCTTAGTATATTCAAAGTTTTTTTTTTTGTTTTTTTTTTTAAGAGCAATGTATACACTAACAGGGCTGTTAACCAGTTAGGTGTCTTTCTCCTCTTACTGGAAGGGCCTGGAAAGTCATGACCAAAGAAATCACACTACAAGGACAGTGGCACCATTGTGCTAAAAACATTTGCAAAAAAGATGTTTGTCACGTTGAGAAGCAAAACATTAATACCTTCAAACCTTTAAAAGGCATCAGGCTGAACTGGACAGCTAGACTAAGATCTGAGATGCATTACATTGCGTTGACTTATCTCAATACAATTAATAGCAGAACAAAGAATGTCAAGCTTTTTAATCACATTTTTAAAACCAAATTACTTATCATCTATCCTTTCCCTTGCCCTTTGTCGTCCTCCTCCACAGCATGCAGATATTCTCTAAAGCAGACTAAGCCTTTCTGATATGTACAAAAACATAGTTTAAAATGATCAGAACAGTAAGTTTCAACATCAGCTAGTGAACATGCACATTAATAATACTGCCTCATTTTCTACCTGTGACAAAACTGTGGTTAAAATCAATCAAATGCGAAAAAGCTCCTTGGATGAAAATCTGCATCGCTATTAATTTTCAGCAGCACAGAATGGATGCAGCTCGAGAGAAACTGTTACACAATAGAAAACTCCTATGAAAAAACAAATGAGTAGAAATGGACAAAGACGAAGGGCCCAATGATTAAAATGCTGGTCTCTTTTTCCTTCCCGTTTGCAAATAAGCCTTGGGATCACCGTCCTAACTAGATTTACAGTTAAGTCAAAACACTGCACTCAGGCACACACCCAAGAACAAGCAACACTTTGGGACAGGAAGCACTGTGCATTTCATAATGTTACACTTTATGTACCACTTCGCTTCCATCCACTCCCCCGGTCCCTTTTTAAGCAAATAGGCTTTATACTGGAAAGTGTTATTCACCCATTTAGAAGGCCACCATAACATTTGGGCACTTGAGGCGCAAAAGTAGTAGCATATAGGGGAGACACTTAAAAATAAGAGCCAGTTGTCCAGGACTCATGGCCATTTCTCTGATAAATCTCAGGCGAACACATTCATGTTTCCGAGCAAGGGAAATTCTACCTTGAGAATCTCATTGCTTCTGGACTGTTCTAACTGGCTATTCACATTAGCCCAGTTTGTGGCAAGTAACAAACATTTGTTCTAAGCCTGGCTCATTTGCTGATGTGACCTGCTGACAGCTATGTAATTCACTCACTAGGGCTATTTGACCTTTTAGTTGACATTAAGTTAAACAGACTAAACATTGATTCTGTACAAGATGAGTTCTAGTATCTCAACCAAGAGAGTAACTTTTTAAATATCACTGAAATAAAAATGTGTTATTTTCATAAAACTAGGTGTAATTCAGTCTATCACAATCCAAAGCCAGTGTTTCCCTAATCTTTTGTTGGGATACTAAAAAATATTTTTTCCACCCTTTTTGACTCGAATCATTTGGTAGTGGGCCAACAGCGCAACACAGAGAATGCTAAGAGGACCAAAAGGTTTGCAAACAAACTTTCATTATTCTAGTTCAATTTTTCACAAACATACTGTACATAGTCTTATATGGTATAAAACAAAGGAAAACATCTGTCTATTCAATTTAACACAACACCAAAATAAAGCAATTAAGACTTTGGGGAATTCAAAGGTACAAGAAAACAAAAATGGTTATTACTAATTCCTCAGCTTTTTACCGTAAACATTTGTCATTTAACATAGTGTTTGATATGGTTTCTTTTGTACTGCGAATACTTTTGGTCTTTCCTCACTGGCGAACAAATGAATTAAACGAGCCCCATAGCATCCTCTGAAGGAGATGAAAAGATGAAGCTTCTAGACAAGTCTAGCTTATCTTTAAGAATCTATTGTTTCTGAAATTTTTACAAATAAAAATACTGAATCCTCAACTAATGATGCTTATTTTTGGAAACAATAAATACTGTGAGGTACAATAAATCCTACAGGAATAATAACAACAACAGAAACATATTAACAGTTTCCTTTGGCAAATTTAACGGAAGTGAATGCTGATGTGAACATAGAAAAAATAATTACAAAACATATGAAAAATGGAAACAACATGCAAAGTTCAAACAAAGGGGGTATTTCTAACTTTGAGACCGATGAGAGAAATGTTTGAGGCCATTAAATGCAGAAAAGAAATACATTCTCTTTAAATTATTGTGTACTGTTAGACAAAATATTCCTTGTTTATCTGTCTTTCCCCCCCTCCACTTAAAAAAAAAAAAAGAAAAAAACAGACAACAAAACACAGTCTGCAATGCACGTCCTAATGGTTTTGGCTGCAGACTGAACTTGAGTAAATATCATCATTTAGTCAGTATGTTGTGGTAGCTGAGGGCTGCCCATGTGGTTAACCAGCTCAGGCAACATGTGTAAACATCGGAAACAAAACAAAACAAAAACAAAAAAGGTTTGGAGAATCGTCTCCCCCTCGTTCTCACTCTCAATTGCTTGGTTTCAGGCTTGCTTTCATTTCTCTCTGACAAATCATGTGGGGAAACACAAAACACTCAACAGTGAGAGATCCTATTTTAAACCCCCCTTCGTCTGGCTTTTCAGAAAGGAGTGTTGCTCAATTCAAGTTCAGCACATGTTTTCAAAGCTTCCAAGTACTGCCACTGTGAAATGTCTTTTGATTTTGTCTATCAAACAGGCCTGAATCATAGGACTACTGCAGAACTTGCAACAAATTAGACAGCCATACAACAGACCAACCCAGTGCAGACTTCTTTCTTTTTAAAGGAGAAGGGTTAGGTCCTTGGAAATGAGTGTTCAACACTTTTACATATTCAGCTTCGTTCCACAGTCAGTAATTTGGGCTTTTGTATCCTGAAATATTATCCTGCCTCTGAAGAGTAAATGCCTTGGCTGTTTCACACCACATAATTGTGTTTTCCTTTTATGTAACTTAACATATAAGCAAAGAAGGATGCAATGTTGATTCTAATAACATTCAGCACTTGAAAGAATCACCAAGTGTTCTTTTTTTAAAGCGGTTTTCTGGTGGCCGACAAATTGGCCTGTGGTTATGTTGAGTGACTAATTGTATTTTCTTTTCTGGAAACTTGTGCAAAGTTGGCAGTTTTGTGTTAACACTAATACTTTTGTTTGGCATTTGTGCCCTATACTGACCAGACCATTTTTATACAAGTGAATTTTTTTAAAAAGACACTTACTTGAAGTATGGCAATAGTTTAAGGATAAAAAAGAAGCATGGATATTACACATCCCCTTGTAGTGTATGAAAAAAAGTGCATGACTGGATTTATGTACTAGTACAGGACATTTTAAAAAATCCGATCTGTGCTGTAAAGCATGCCAGCACCTCTTTATCACTATATCTAGCAGGTAGTAAAAACAAGACCATGTTTTTTTTTTTTAAAAAAAAATGTGCATTAATGCTAACATAAATGAATAGAGCTAGCCAGCAAACTATTTTTCTCCTGCATATCTAACAGCTGGATGTAACTGTAAAAATTAAACAAAAGAGTTAAACACCATCAATACAATTGCTTTACATCATTGGCCTCTCAAGGCTAAATATTTACAGGTGAATCTGCCATGCTTTAATTGAAGATTCTCTCAAAACCTTAAAGTTCACAAAAGACAACTATAAGAAGTTCCTTTTTTGTTTTTTTTTTTTTTCCCTTTATTTTTTTTTGCAGGCAATAGTCATGGATACAACAAATTGTCCCTCTGGAGAGGACCAAGAATTCTTATTCTTTCAGAATTTGGGCTAGTTGCACACTTTATGTGTGTATGTGTGTGTGTATGTGTGTTTTAAGGGTACTTTGTTTTCACCCCCAAATTAAAGATCCCACCCCTTTCCCAAAACTATAAAGGAAAAAGAAAACAATTTTCAAAAGCACCTAGTGTTTATCTTTTTATATCTAAAAAGATGTGTGTGTGTGTGTGTGTGTATATGTAGACACAGAGGCATACATGTACACACACACACACACACATACACACGCCAAGTACACAAGCACACATGGACTATGGCAGTTCAAATACGTAGGCCATCTGGTGAGAGCTGGCATTTGTAATGTCCGTTCTGAGACTAATCGACGGAAGTGAAGGGAATGTTTTTGTGGAGATTAGGGTTCTGACTGTGCCGGTTTCGGCTTCGCACAGAGGAAAACATCATATTGCAACCAGGGACTTTGCACTTGTGCATTTCTCGCAAATGCACAGTTTTGTAGTGCACTCTCAGGGTCCCCTTGTTGCTGTACATTTTGTGACAAATGTTGCACATGATCCCACCATTGCTCCCGGACAAGCTGTTGAACATCAGAGATCCTGGAACTTCGGGCCCTAGACTGCCAGGGAGGGCAGGGGCCTCGGCCTTGTGTGCCGACTCCCCACTGTCACTCGCCCCGTCAATGTCGTCGAGAAGAATGCCCTCGTCGCTGCCTGCGTCGGATTCTCGGGAGGAATGGATGCTGCTGCTGGACTGGAGACTGGAGGTGGTGCTCAGGTCAAGGACCATGTAGTCCTCCGCCATGCCTCTCCCGTACCCATTCAGGTGGGAGTCTTCAGTCCCTGCGGGAGAGGAGGCGTCTTCCCTGACATCGAGCCCCAACGGGTGCTGGGCACCATAGATCTTCATCAAAAATTCATCCCGGAGGTCCTTGCTAAGGGAGGGCTGCGCTGAGTCCAGGCCCATGTCATCGAGTTCTTTGGTCAACAGTTTGCGATGCAGGTTTATGTTGGCACTGTGTCTAGGAAAACAAGAGGGAAGGGGGGGGAGAGGTGTACAGGGTGTGGGGAGGGGTGAGAAAAAGGAGAACATTTTAAAATTGATTCAGCTTCCACCAGGCATTAAATAAGCACATTCATTGCTAATTGCACCATTATAAAAGCAAACATTGCCCTACATCCTCAGGATTTGGGAATAAGTGGTGGTGGGGAGTGCAAATAAGGGGAGCTTTTCATTAACATAATTTTTATAAGAGTAAAATTCTTCAATGGTAGAATGAATGCAAACCCATGCACCTTTTTCTCAATGATATTGTTAGCTCTACTAGGTAGCAGCATCAGCTGCACAGAATCTCACAGCAGAGATGTCAGAATATATATTAAACAGGATAAAAGAATGGAAACTTGCTGCTTGTCTAAACTGAATAATTTGAATTTACACCTAAAAAAAAAAAGCCCTTTTTTGCCTACAACACTTCATTTAGAGGTATAAAAAAGATCAATTTTTAAAAAAGTAAATGGTTTAGATAATTTCAGTTTAACTTTAAAACATAATGACATCTTCTCCCTTGCCTTTCTATACTTCATGTTCTAGGAAGGAAAAAATTTAGTTTTATAGATTAGCAATTTGAAATAGGGTTACAGACTGTATCATAAATCCCTTTCCTCAGAATAATTTGGGATCTCAACTAATCTACTAGTAAACTACGCGTCATTTTCAGAAGCTGCTGCATTTTAGAGTTGAAAATGCTTTCATCAAGTAATTTGACTTTTAAAATTTAATCCTTTAAAACAAAGCCTGAAAAATAGAAATTGTTTTTTAAAATAAAAACACCCACCCTTTAAAAAAATCACGCTAAACAACAGAAAAAACCCAAAAGGGACAAAAAAGAAAACACACAATAAATACCCCCCAAATCAAGCACAATATATGGTCCCCCTTTTTTAACAACTGGAATCTGTACTTCTTAGACAAGCAAAACTTTTAGTGAGGGCTTTGCTTGTGTTTAAAAAAAAAAAAAAAAAGATAGGATTTGTCCCACAGCATCCATAAGGATGTCATGATTTACAAAGCCTAATATGTTATTATCTATCTGAAAACATTGCCTTTGTATTTACATCCCCCATTTATTTTTAAAGTGCCCTTGGGCATATACCTCTCTCCACCTGCAAAGGCTCACATGTTTGACAAGTACCTAAATTGAAGCCTACCCTTCCAAAAAATAAACCAATAAATAAATACACAGATACATAAGAGCTTCTCGATAATGGCAGAAGCTCTACATCTTGAAAAAGTAATTGTGATAATAGAAATAACCTAGAATGGCCAGTATAACATTCAACAGACCTCCTGATTATAATTAAAACGTATGGAAGACCAAAATGAGTCACTCCATTTGGTGACAAGCATGGCTAATTTCTTAGAGATGGTTGAGAGGTATGTGCCTCAGAGACAAGAAAGGTAGGAAAGACTTCTCCACCTTTCCACACAAGACAATATATAGCACTCCGGGTGTTAAGGGGCAGAGGGGAGCAGCCCTCTCCACACTGCACTTAGGAAGGCTGAGCTTACCTTGTGATAATAAGATCAGCTTTCTAATCTTTTGCTAAATCGATCACAAAAGAAAGCAAGAATGAGAGAGAGAGAGAAAGAGAGAGAAAAAGAGAGAGAGAGAAAACAAATTCACATTCTAGACATCTGGTTTAAAAAAAACTTAAACAATAAAATAGGGATTTAAAATGTTCTGATCACAAAATCATTTTCTGTCATAAGAGATCACCTCATATGCTGTCTTGATGATTTTCAGATCAACTGTATAATCCAAAAATCATAAATTGAATTAAGATAAACCAAATTCACAGCATCATTATTTTCCATAAATGAGTTCTACACAGATGCATGCAGGGTGCGAGTATGTGAGTGATAAACAGAAGTTGCCCCCACAGTCCCTGCCCTGACACTGTTGCTCCCTGTTTCCTTGGTGTCAGATGGCAGATGACTACAAGTGCAGGTTGCAAAGCAGAGTGCAGGCAATGCCTACTGAGCGGTCTCTACCCTGACATGCGGGCATGACGCCCCCAGAGTTATTAGAAGAACGTGGAAACAGAGTTACACTGCGTACTCTTACTCTATTGATTAAACAATCTGCCAACCGTAAGTAGCCCACGAAATCCTACCCATCTGTTTATTATTTCTAACACCCTCCCCACTTTCTTAATTTCACAAGCACACATTTTGTGATGACTGTAATCTAGAACTCTGTTGCTCCTCACACATCTGCAGTTACCACTTCCTAGATTCACTGCTGAGAAAATAGCAGACACATAGCAGTCACATCAAGACACATTGAATAAAGAAGAATAAATTAACATTGACAAAAGGACACACTGATCACCCAGATGGACACTTCTTTCCTGAGATGACTTGTGAAATTACACATCTCTACTGATATGTTACCAGGAAGAGATGTTTCTCTTCATTTCTCACTTACAGCAATAGAAATCTGTAATCTAATTAGATGATGTACCAGCCCTCAATATCTGTCAACCAAACGATGTGCAGAAATGTGTAGACCAGCTCTGGCACTCTGTTCAACAGTGTCCCTTTTCCGCTGTCAGCAGTACTGTTGGCCTCTGCTAATATAATTACATTGACTTTTATTCAATTAAGTGCCATCCCTTGCTTAAAAAAAAAAGGTTATTTTATCAATTGATTCAGGTGTAATGCAATAATAAAGATGAACTCAGGGCAGTGCATTAGCTCTGCTGTTCATAACTTCAGTACAAGGGTTCATTCATGGTAGTCGATTTCCATTATGCAACCACAGTTCAAGAGAATTGATTCTTTTATGCTCATTTCTTAATCTATTTCATTTTTGTTTAATAATCTTCCTAAATACCATATGCAAAACACGTGAAGTGGGGATGGGAAAGTCTGCCCGTTTACCCTCATGGTAGCGGGCTTGGGAGATTTTCTAACACTCACACAGTAATGTTGGGGTGGTAAGAGGAAAAGCGAGAGCAGGAGAGAAAGAAGAAAGACAGATTTCTTTGGAGAGTACTGATCCTGCTCCTCAAGAGGTTAGGTTCAGCCTCTACAGAGCAGACAGAAGGCAGCACTTGATCTTAACAAAGACCTATTGTTGGACTCTGGAATCAGTCGATCCAAACCATTAATTGTCATAAAACCCTGTCCTCATGAGGAGATACAAAGACCTAGAGTTAATAGCAATTTATAAGTTTATTTGGATCAGCAAAATCAAAGAGGTAAAAAGAGAAGGAAGATGGAAGAGACACAGAAAGAACTCATGCCTACTGACCATCAGATGAAGAGAAGAGGACCCTAAAATGGGAGGAAGGCCAGAGAGTGTTGGAAATATGAGAAAGACCCCTAGCAGAGGAAGCAGTGTGCAGATGTATGTAGTAAGTGGAAGGAGGAATCTATGAAGGAACCCAATTTTGAGTTCTTCAGAGACAGAGATGGCTTTTCTAGAAATGGACTTACTATATTTATCTCCAGAAGAGAGAGAGAGAGAGATAATCATTAGCAAAAATCTAGATTATATTCAAACTTATTATATAATACAAGATCATAAACAGTACGAAGGCTCTTTCTGCTTGCTTTGATTAGGTAGGAAATGCCGATATGCATTTCCTCTCATGGAAAATTTCTCTCATGGAAAAAAAAAAATGACTGGGATGGAGAGAGAAGATGAGTTCCTAGGCAGAAAGGGTAAGGATCTGGTCTTAATAGGGATCTGGTGTTAATGAGTACAGACAGTACTACTCACTAAGAGAGGAGTCCAAAATGTAGCCCCCAGATGGTCACTTTCAAGAACACAAACTAAATCTCATTCAACCTCCAGTCTCCTGCAGTAAAGTAGAATACGTTGCACATAGGAAATACTTGAAAGTACATTTACTCGCCTTCAATCAATAATATGCATGAGAAGCTTTTCCCAAAATACACTGTAGAAGAGAAAACAATGATCCCAAGACTGAAGCATGTAACAGAATACTTAAGAAAAGGCAGTGGTAGGGGCGCCTGAGTGGCTCAGTTGGTTAAGCGACTGCCTTCGGCTCAGGTCATGATCCTGGAGTCCCTGGATCGAGTCCCGCATTGGGCTCCCTGCTCGGCAGGGAGTCTGCTTCTCCCTCTGACCCTCCCCGCTCTTGTGCTCTCTTTCATTCTCTCTCTCAAATAAATAAATAAAATCTTAAAAAAAAAAAAAGAAAAGACAGTGGTAATACAGCAAAGGGTAATTCTGACTCTATTAATACCCCAATGTGGTACACAGAAATGCTATATAAATTAAGGCATGACACAGTCCTATAACTTGGGCTTGCTTGGAATTACAACTGCTTCCTCTGAATCTCTGTACTCTTTCCTACTCCCTCCACACTGTGAGTTTACAAAATGCCTTTTGAAAACTAAGATTATCCTTAAGAGCAAAAAGTAATGAAGCCTTGGGTAGGGGAGGTCATAAAAACAAACTTAACACTGAGTTAATGCTGAGTGGAAGTACTCTAACTGGCCTGAAGTGGACCACTGCTCTTTTTGTTCCTTTAATAAAAATTTTACTTATGTCAATTATATCTCAATTAAAAAAAAGAAAGAAAACCTTAATGCAACCATAGAAGACACCAAATTCATCAAACACAGTTAAGTAAATGCATAAATACAAGCGAGAGAAAGTAAGAGAAAAAGTAAGTCTTGCTGGGCATTTCTCTTCTCATGTTTCTCTTGTTCTAATGCCCAGTTCAACTTAATATAATGTTTGAGGTTTTAACTTTGATTTTGATATATAGGGAAGGAACTTTTTTTTTATTTTAAAGAAAAAGTTTCATGTCCAAATTAGAAAATCAGAATGTAGTAGTCAAAACTGAATAGTGAATCAGACCATAGGTTACATGAGAAGTTCAATACCTAAATCTTAATTCTTTCTAAGTTTTGAACCATTCTAAACTTAGTGAAACAAAATACTTGATAAATATTATAATATTTCAGGCAAAACAGAATTGA